TTGAAAAACGGTTATTGGAGATTTATGTAAATACATGCGATTGAAGAATGAAGAATGAAAGAAGAGTATTGAATTTAAATACCTTGAAGACTATAAGTACAGCTTTTGAATACATAAATAATATCACAATAAATCAAAGTAAAGTCAAATAATGTGTGATTTTTCTTTCCTTTTTTTTTATTATTCCACAATTCAATCATTGAATGATGTGTGTCGTGGGGGACATTCTCTCACACATCATCCACATAATAAGGAAGATTGAAATCTGTCGTGATTTGACAAATTTCCTTCTTGAAAGGAATAGCATGATTCCGTTTTGGCAAACCGACTGTAAAACGTATCAATTAATCAAAGTAGTTTCATAAATGTCCGACTCTATCTTTATCTGTGTAGTTTAATCAAATTGATTTTTTTTTTATTTTGCTGCTGCTGCTTTTACCTCCTCATTATTATGAGTAATATTTTTCCATCATGAAAATTGCTGAAAATATAAGGCACGAAACAAAATCATTTATTATAAGCTAAGTTGCACAATTATAAATTCATAAAGTTACGGGAGTTGAAAAATAGTTTGAGAGGTGAGGTGGAGCTTGGTATGTTGGTGGTTAAGGCGCATTTACCAGGCTTATGCTAGAGAGAGCTGGTTTTGAGGTTGAGGTATGGCAGAATTAAATTTTTAAAGTAGGAACAAAAGGATTATTTCAGTTCTGATCAGTTTTAATCACACTATTGACAAAACTTTTAAAGAAGAGCTAGTTTAAGATCTAACAGCTATCTGAAAGGCTTCTATGAATTGAATTAGCTTGAAACTCCACCGAATCTCTAAGACAGCCAGCTTCTATCCCAAAGCGAAACCCTATAACCCTCTCACATCTTCGACAAACTGTGCTTTAACAAAAAAGCTCAAATAGTCGACGACAAAATGAAAAAAAAGAGAGCATAAATAAATAACTAGACAAGCTCTATAATATCATTTGTTGTTTTTTTGATCATTTTTCATTCATTTAACACGACAAATGCATAAAAAAAGTTATTTCATGCTAAATGTCTATTTAATCAGCAAAAAAACAACAGTACTAAATGAATTAATAATGTTTAAATCGCAAGTCATAACGTGAAACATGGCTTGAAATAATGAAATTTATTAAAATAATAAAGGCACACAGAAAGTATTGACTAATCAGTGAACATGTGTTTCGATTTGAGCGACTTGCACACATATTTTTTTTTTTGTTTTATAAATTGTTAAAAATGATGTTCAAATATGTAGCTAATAAATCATTGATTAATTAATGTGATATTTGTGCTATGGTGCAACTGAGCCTCGCATAAATGCAACCTTATGCTTAATGTCTCTGAAACAGCAGAAATAAATAAAGAATCTTTATTTTAACGCAGAAAAAGGAACAGAAAATGAGAGAAACAGTCACAGCAGGATCGTTGACGCGCACATATAAAGATGACTGTATAAATGATAACAAGATGAATGCGCCCTTGAGCTTATGACAGTGAGAAAAATGTACATAAGCAAAATTATTCATGAGATTGCTGTTCTGCTTTTTATTTTATTTTATTTGGCAACGAGACTCATCCATGAGATTAAATGCCGATTGAATGAAGCCAAATGACAGCGAGAGAAGGCAAAGAATATGAAGAAAAATCGATATTGGCCCATAATATTCCCCAGACATCTATATTTCCTGTATATAAGGTTTTAAATCTGAAGCTATATTTTCACGAAAAAAAAAACATAAAGGAATGAGGATGAGAATGTAAAAATCCCCTAGACATCGATTGAGTTTAGACAGAAAAAGAAAAGAAAACAATTGATACAATCGGGGCTGGCTTTCTTCTTTTATTTCTTTTCAAAAGCACTTTCGAGCTTTGATTTCAATGCGCGAAATCGATAGAAGCTAGTCAGCACATGTCATCAGAATTGAAAACAATAAAGTCAAATAAAAATAAATGACATGACATTTTAGAATATGTGGCAGTGCTTCTCTCTCTAATTGTGCAGCATAACATAACTTAATTTCATTGCTATTTCATGCAGTGATAGAGCATAAAATAAGCAAATACGGTTACATAGATTTTACACTTATCATATGATTTAATATTTTAGCATTTTAGATTCTTTATGGCTGTGGGGTTGTCCATACTTGCTAGTCTATTTTATTCACGGTTCTAAAAATTATTCATAGCCAGTTTCAAAGGGAATGTCCACATGAAAAAGTTTTATGAGACAGTAAAAAAATGAATTGCGGTGCTTGGAAGTTTATGATCAACAGATTAGTATTGTTGTTGTTTTGGAGTGACTGTTGATGATTTTTTTTAAGGACTGAAGGTTTCGCAATTTGGTTATTAAAAAGCTTTTTGGTGGGCTTGAATGGAATTGTGTTTTTAAATTGAGGTTTAGATTAGGTGACCAAATATTTTTTGAAAAATAGAGGACCTGAATGTAAAATAGAGGACTTCACAAATTTCTACCAATTTTATTCATTTTCTGGAGGACTGACCAATTTTTACCAGGGTCTGCCAGGGTCTGCTAGACTCTACACAATTTTGACTGGATTAAGCTTGTTTATGCTTTTTTTTTGACTAAGTTCAGGCAAAGTTGCTTCAGAAAATAAATTATTTAGGAATGTCAAATATATAGCTGAAATCTAGTTATAGATTGTAAAATTAAGCTTAAACATCGATAATAATAAACAAAAATTTCAAAACAGATTAGTTTATTAAGTTAGCATTTAGCCAAGCTAATAGGTAACAAGGCAACCCTCAATAGCTCAGTGGCATAAGTATTCATCTAGAAATCGTAAGGAAGTTGGTTCGATTCCTCTTTAAGACAATCTTAGTTTTTTTCCTGTCAAATATTCAATACTAAGTTCTTAAAGTATCAATATTAAGTTTCCAAGATGTCTTCAAGTGTTCACTTATTACGTTACGCAAAAAACCGACTTTTTTCGCCCCACTCCCCCCTTGTTACAACTCGCGACCACCCCCCCCCCCCTGAACGTTCATAATTCAAATTTTTTTCATGAACTTTTTTTTAAAAGACAGACGACAGTTAGAACGTTACATTCTTCTTGACACCCTCCCCCCCCCTATGTTACATTTTGTAACAATTTTTCAAACCCCCCCTCCGCCCTAAAATGTGAACGTAATAAGTGAACGGCCCCTTATTCACTTTTGATGTTCATCAATTAGGAGGGAGTGGGTCTGGAAATTCCATTAATAATATCATAAAAGAACGAATTCTTACTAATCTTGAAAATCTGCTAAATCTTACTTAAAATAAGTTTCTCACCAAAAAGTGCTTCATTTGGTCGACAAAAGTCAGCAACATAAAATTTTCAAAAACATCCAAAACCCTCACCAATCCTTTATTTCATTCAATTGCTCCTCACTTTAATTTTCATTTTCATAATTACCATCAATAATTGCTTCATGAATGTTTATTTTATGAATAACGCGAAAAATCATGATAATTTGACATAATTCTATGGAACGTTCATCATAACGCTTTTATAACTAGCCATCAACAAATTTATAATGTATATAATATGACCAATGGGCTATAGATTACTTTTGTATAGTAATATCCAACCTATTTGTTGTAGTTACTCATTTGACGACGAAAATGATTAATTATGTATTTTTCATTTGGAGCCGTACGGCATATCTCAAAATATAAAAAAGGGGTTCACTTTTTTTCCAATATTTATTTTCTCTATTGCATGTTGTCAATAATTTCTATGCGACATGCAAATGAATTTTGTTTGAAAATTGCGTGAAAATTGTCCACTGTTGTCACTCTAAACTCAATTGAGGATTGATTTGACAATAGAGAAAATACTAGAAATATAAATTGCATCACTAAGCGCAATAGCAGTGCAATATCTAAATTTTTAAAAATTTATTGAGTGTGAGAAGCTTTGAAAAATCCACAAATATAACATAGGGACAGAGAAGGAAGTAGAAAGAAGGCAAACATGCATACGATGATGATGACGAAAGTACATGAAATGCAATTTGTTTGTTGAATTGAAATAGTATAAAAAGAGACTATATATATCATGAGAGGAGATCATTGAAGTATTATCAAATGGCAAATAGTTTCATTTTATTATATATGTTGAAATGAAGTGAACGATGATGGGAGTGAGATGGAAATATTTGTTATTTATGCAAAACAATATATTGTGATGGAATGAGCCAATAAATAATGTAATGCCGAATTGTAGACTCAATTGCAAAATAGACATGAGTGATAGTAAAGTATAAGTATGCAGATATGTGCTTTGTGAGCCAATAGCCTTCAATTTAATAGATACTTGTTCAAAAATTTATGGAAAATATAATTTTACAAACGTATTTTGTAAGTTTAAATTTTTAACGGATTTTCAAAATTCAAACTTTTAAAATTCAGTCCAAACGAGAACTGAGAATCAAGAATTATAACCAATAATTAAAATATTAGCACAAATAATGAAAAACAGAGAACCAAGAACCTTAAAATTTGGTTCCTAATCCTTCTAACCCACCCATTCCATTGGCTCACACCAACATTTTCCAATATTCATATATTGTTTCTATATGGCATTTATTATTACTGGGATGCTGCTGCTGTTGTACCCTGGCAAAACCATACATAACATGAGACAGTGAATATCGCTTGAGGCAGCTACATCTATTTTGTCTTTTTTTTCGGGTCAAATCGTGACTAATAAATTCATCATCATTGTTCTTGTTGCTCTCTTCTGCTTTTCTCTCGCAATAAATAAATAAAAGTATATTTCTGTGTGTGCCGTAACGACATGATATGCTGTTGCTGTTGTTGTTTTGTAATATTAGCCAATTCAATTCAATTTTCTCTATCTACTGTTTTGGGGGAGGGAGGGTTAACATCAATAATAATAATGCTAGGAATAAGCACAAAAATTTATGTCAATGGCAATTAATTAATTTTTTTCTTCTATCTTCTATGTTTATTTTTTCAGTTATGGTGCAGGATATGATCTTGCCGCTCGCCGTAAAAATGCAACACGTGAATCAACAGCAACGCTTAAAGCGTGGCTCAATGAACATAAAAAGAATCCTTATCCGACAAAAGGAGAAAAGATAATGTTGGCAATTATAACAAAAATGACACTAACGCAAGTGTCCACATGGTTTGCAAATGCAAGACGTCGACTTAAGAAGGAGAACAAGATGACTTGGGAGCCGAAAAATAAGACAGACGATGACGACGATGCAATGGTGTCAGATGATGAGAAGGAGAAGGATGACATGGATGATAAGAGTCGGAATAAAGGTAAGACTGAATTTACTTTAAAATGTCCTTAATTTTTTATCTTGGCACTTGCTTTTTTGGGGTTGCAAGAATGGAATAATGATGTCCCGTTGATTGTGAATTTTTTGTTTAAATTTCTGAATAACTGTCAAAAAATTGAACTTAAGTTGAACTTGAAATTCAAATTTCAAATAAACGTTATTATTCAACTGTCAATCTAGATCGAATTTCTCAACAACTACAAAAAAAAAATTCAAAAATAATTTGAACCTAAATTGAACTTAAAGTTCAAATTCCAAAAGATCGTTATTTTTCAAAATATCAAAATAATTTCTCCTTATGAATGCTTAAGCAGCAACCTTCTTATTTCCCTTCTAAGATGACTAAATGTAAAAGAAGTAAATGTAAAATTTTATGCCTAATTAAAACTGTCATGAACAGCACACAATGGACGACCATAAATTAGACAGCGCGCTTGGCAAATTAATGTAAAAGAATCTTTAAATTTATATACGAGATATTCAGATACGCCGTAGAAGAAATGAAAGAATGAAAAACTTGAAGCGCGCGCTGAGGATTTGTAAAATCTAATAATTTTTAATTAAAAGGGTTGAAAAATGTCTTTTTTTCTGCTATTGCTATCGCTTGCTTGCGGCAGTGGGTGGAAGTATTTTCTGTTTTGTATTTGTGTGTGGCGACGGCATCTAACGCTATAATTTATTTATACTAAAAAAACATTAATGTGTCAAGAAAATAAAATTTATATTGAAAGTCACATTTCATTATGATAATTTTCACTCTCTCATTTAGTCTCTGACTGACTCTTTAAAGCCGTGTTGTCTATCGAGTAGCTTTAAAATATGAAAGAAAATCCCTTTAGAGAATTCATTTCCATTAGGCTCAAAGTGAGATATTTTTTCACTTCACTTCCCTCCTTCATTTTTCTTTTCGTCTCCTCCTCCTTCCTCGCTTGCTCGTCATTCCCTAAAATAACATTTTTCACTGTGATGCCTTTCACTTTCCTCGTCTCTCCTCTATACGTTTTATTTTTAAAAAGTTGAAACTAAACTACATATTGCGAGCATGTGTTTAAAGCTACAGAAAATTCTTTTTGCCACTTTATTCCATTCTTATCTTCATGTCGTCAATTTCACTTGACAACTTTTTCCATCAACATTATCGTCCTGGATGTGCAAGATATACATCCATTCCAGGGACTTAACTAGGAGGGGGTCTACAGTTTAAATTCTGAATATTTCAACCCTCTTAAAGAGCTTAGACCCCCTTAGAAAATACCTGACTACATCTCTGGTTCAAACATAGATGCATAGACAAAACAGCACATTGATACGCTAGGGGTTGGTCTGACTGCATTGCATGAATTCCTTAAATTAAATCAAATTAATTTTAAAAAGTTTAGCAAATCCATTCTACTTCCATACTTATACACTTAAGTGAATATCTATTCATTCCTATCTATCGCTGTTGCTGTACATAATACAACATTCATAGGGAGTGCAGACTTGCAACTAACAAGTGGTCTTTTCACTTAACATAATCGGATAATGGAAATTATCACGCGCGCCCTTCTCTCACTCACTTCCTGTCTATCATTTCACTCAAATCTCTTTCTGCATTTAATCTCTCATTCTTGTTTTATTGTCAGCTTCTCCACCCATTCCACCCTCGTGCAAAAAAAAAGAAATTGCACTTTTTCGTGTATGAGAATAAAAAAAACTTTTTAATGATCCCTCACAATTGCGTATGGCCAATATTTTATTTCGCTATAAAAATAATAGAATTTTATGGATATCCCATCCTCTCTTGAATCAGCAATGCATTTTATTAGATATTTGCTATTAAAAACAATATTCAGCATCAACACGAGATGTTGTTGGGTTAAATATATTGCTGTTGGCCAGGGTTGTTGGCATGGTGAGATGGATTAAGATCATCATAACTTAATTTAACACAGTTGAGCTTTACCTAGATTGAGTTGTGCTCTAGCGTGGCGCTCTGTGGTCAAATGGTTGGTTTAAAAATACGAAATCTGTAATCTGCTTTTTCTCAAGAAAGTGGGTTCGATTCCTATCAGAACCAGATTTCTCAATAATCACCAATAACTACATTGAGTGTTGTAGATAAGTCAAGGATTCGAACGATTTTCCTGACATTACATCGAGAAATAGATACAGACTAATATGACTCAAAGATCTACGAACAGACATAGAACCTGAGATTACGTCTGAATTTTATCTGATTTAACTCATATCAACCCTGCTACTAATAAATTCATCCCCATCTCCTCAACATTTTAATGCATTAGAAATGAAAAAGACAGTAAAATCTGAAGGGAAGGGATCGCACCCTCACACAAATGGTGCTATAATATTTAATTCACCATATCAAATTGTTTAAATAGAATTATTTCATTATTTAAGGATCACTGACATCGTTCACATCATCATCATCTTCGTCAAATGGCTATATGCGAATTTTTTAAACAGATCTGACAGGTTATTTAAAAGGGATTGTCTCCATTATGTGAAAGGTCTACTCACTCTCGTCACATGCACAACATTTTTTTGAGGATTTAAAGAAGAAATTCTCTGTGTCACAAAGCAAAAATTCTTAAAGGCACGAAGGGGAAAGGGGAGGTCGATGGAAAGGATGAATATTTTATTCTACAAGCAAATGGCAAAAAAGAAGAAAATGTTGTGTACGAGATGACAGTGATGATAAAGAGAGGGACAATGTTCATTGAAGACCTTTTAAAGGCAAATGGAGCCCTCAAATCTTATGAATGGAATTGTCATCGCTGCAGCATAATGAAATGTATGTCACGACTTTTTCAGTATTTTTTTGACTCTATTCATTCATGCTGAATATACATTTATGCCTTGTAACGATATAAAAATGTTGAATAAAAGTCAGTACATTAAAGTCTTTTTGGTAGTCACTTAATAACACAAATACGAGCTTTTCGCACTGTTTCTGGTTTATTCTTGCCTCCTAAAAAACTTTTTTTATTGCCATAAAAAATTTTTTTTGTATGCTCCTGCCACACATACAACCCTAATGCATAACGCTTCGAGAAATGAGAACCACTTAAAATAGAAGAGGAGAAGAAGGAAAAATGAAATGTGGCGAAAAGTATCATAAAAGTCCTTTTTTGTTCTCTTTTTTTGGCTCTTTTCATTTTTATTGTATAACACACTACTATGTGGATGAAACAGAAAGGCATCTACTATGTTCATTTATTTGCTGATCGCATATTTTTGCGTTGCCCCAAAAAATACGTTTCTTTTCTCTTCAAATTCGAGGGGGGTAACAACATGATGGAAAATGTTTTGATTGTAAAGTATCATCAATTTTTGAGGGGGAAACAACTTCATGGGCAAACATGATCTCTTCATTTCACTCCCAATATGTTCTTTACCCTTGAAAATTCTAAGAAATTTTCCATCATATTGTTATCCCCCTTCATACTCCCCACCCCCTTCCTAAAACTGAATAAGAAGATATGAAATTGAAAAAAAAAACTTATGTGGTTCGTGTGTGTCTTAGTGAGTCAGTATATTATGAAGTATATGCGAATGCGTTCGGTTTATTATTATACTTTTCACGCTCTATGAAAATGAAGTGAAAGAAAAATTTATGTTTTTATGATTCTGGGTTTTTTGTTTGTGTGTGAACACACAAAGAAAGAAAAAGAAGTGAAGGAAAAATTGTGGTTAAGGAATGACTTACTTAAAGGAATAGAAGTAAAGTGATGCATGGTGCGATCTCATAAAAATATTGTAGAACAAGATGAGGGTGGCTATATATGACTTTATAAATTTGATACACAATGCACTATGGAATGTGGATATGAAATGGATAGGGATGAACTTTCTTGAAGTTATTGCTGTTGTTAAGATTTTGCAGGATTTGAACGCATTCCTTCTACAGACACTATTGGTTTTTATTCAGGTCATTTTAGTTTGAATAGGATTTGAACCTGGCTCGTCTGTCTGATTGTCTCGATTCTTTAAATCGAGATGGGATTTGATCTTGGATCAGGCCTTGGAATCTTAAGTATTATCATTAACCTACTTGGTAAAGCTGTGAAGGTTTTTTGAATTACAATAAAAATCATTTCTTAATATTGACTGACAGTTGCGTAAGAGGAAGATAATGATCAAAGAATCGGTTCCGTGATGCAAAGAGAATCCAATTCAATTCTAAAAACAGATTTTTGAGAAACCTCTTTACATTGATAAATTAATTCATTCATTTATTAATTAATTATTATAAACAAGAAGGGGCGGGGGAGTCTCATACTGGTTTTTCCAAAAAAAAATATTAAAATTCCCACATCCGAAAATATTCACAACCCCGACAAAACGTGTATCACACACACCTCCCAATTAATTTTAAAAAATATTCCAACAATTTCAGTTAAAAAAATAACGACATTGTGCCTCGTGCCTAGTGCTATTCCTATAATATGATGAAAGATGAGAAATCTCCTCCTTAAAAATCATATATTTATTTATCCACATCCTCCCAATGTGGATGGAAGGAAGTAGAAGTGAAAGAATTACAATTGGAAAAAAGAACTGCAGGAGTTTTGTGTGCTTTATGTTGAGTCTATGCGGTGAAAGTGTTGAAAGGGGAACAAAAATGATAAATTATGAAAAATTGCAATTGAATTTGACCACACTCTATCATGTTGCTGAATGAGGGTGGAATTATATGTTTGCGGAAGAGAGATGACTGTGATGACGTAGTATCTTTATTCCTTAATATCCACACAGACGCACACATTGAAAGTGTTTGCATGATTTTCTACGACTTGAGATGATTTATGAGCACGTGGCTATTAAAGAGCGATATAGCTTAAGGCAATGAAAACTACTTTTCGACTTTAATAACATTTCTTTCTTCTACTTCTCATGCTGTTGTTGTTGTTTGGCTTAACAAGCCAACTTTTTCCACTTCAATAATACTTCACTTGACTTACTGTTTCGAAAAATTTGTAGAAGCAGCACAGCCATGAAGCACACAAAATGCTTCGAGGAAAATTTATATTTTAATTTAAATTTTTATAATTCTAAGCTTTCTCATACAACATTTTTTTTCTATCTTACTTCTGCTCACTTACTCGCTTATTTGAACAAAAAACTTGTAAACTTTTACATTGAATTTCTTTTTTGCAAAAAAGAATGAAACACAAAATGATAATAACTAAAACACGGAGCATAACCTTTAGGGGATTTAACAACAGGGATTATAATTTTCTGAAGAACTTTTCTCGACTCTTATGTCCCTTTAGTCGTATTCTTTATATCTATCTAGCTAGTTTTGTGTCTGCGTCTGATCGAAGGAAATTTTGATTTGCGTATGGAAAGGTTAAGGCGCACTTTTTAGGTTATAATTGGATCCAAATTGTTAAAAATGTCTCAACAGCTTTAAATAAATTTCTTTCAATGCCTTTACATTCCCTAGTCACGTCTTGAAACCCACCTCTTAAACTTGTGATCCAAAGCTTCTCTTCTTTGTCAATTTATGATACCAGAAAGCCTATTAATAGATGACAAACTAACATACAAAGAATAAGTCCTGAGTGGGACTTGAACTCGCGTTATAAAATTATATAACACAAGCTCCTATCACTGTGCTTATAATAAAATTTCACTGGTGTGATTAACAAATGAATAAGAATAGAATATGTTAGAGTAGCTACAAAAATATATCCCAAGAACCCCAGTCAGCCAATTCAAACATCCAACAAACCCCCAAAATCACTGCAAAAAGAATTTTCCTCTTGAGTAAAAAAAGCTAAAGAAGTGAATAATAAAAGTATCTATTTCCATACGACTATGAATTTGTATACACATATTATTATGGTGCATTGTCATTGTTTTTGTAGTTAACTTCTATTTTGCCGCCGCCTATCTAAAATATAATGATAATATAAAATTTCATTCTCCGCATGCAACATGAGTGTAAAGAAGAAGCGAGAGCACTAGCGTAAATAAAGGAGAGGAGAAAAAGAGACAGAGTGAGAAGTAGAACTTAAGTGGATGTGTATATTGGCAAAAAATAACATCCTTAATATTGTTATACAATATGTTTACAATGGATTTTTTGTTTTGCTATGTGTATACTCAACGTAATCCTTTTTGTTGAACAAAATTTTGCATTTTCCACCATTCTCGCACTAGTTTTGTCGCTCTCACTTATTTTCAGCTTTTTCTTTCATTTCTGCTTCACAGCTCATATAAATAGAAAAAAAGAACAGTTTTGCTTGTCAACTATAACAAAATTGTGAATATATAATGGAGCAAGAGCAAACGAACGATTAATACTATTTGGAGTGTTTCCAAAGTGAATTCAAAGGGGATAACAACTTTGTGGGGAACATTTCGTTTGTGTAAAAATTATGGAAAATACTATTGAAAATGCAGAAGAATAGTTGAAAATTACTTTGTGTTTTTACTCGAGGGGGAAACAACGTGGTGAGGAAAAACAAATGAAAATCTTTTGCCCCTTCATGTTGTTTTCCTCTTTAGAACGGTTTAATAACTTTCTACAATTTTCAATCGTTTTTCTTTTTAATTTTCTATCAATTTTTTTCCCTCTTTATGTTGTTTCCCCCTTCATGTTAATTCTTTGTTCAAGTTGCTTCTTCCTTGATGTCATTTGTCCGCTTCATGTTGTTTCGCCCATAATTTCCATAAAAATGCTCTTTTTCCACCAAGTTGTTCTCCCCCTGACTATATAAAATTGCTTATTGCTGACGACAAAACTTTTACTATGTAGTCACATCATTGACGTAAATTTTTAACAATTGCTGTTTTTTGTATAGCCAAAATGATTACATGTTTCCAGTTTTCATAAACAAAACTTACTTTTTACTCAAACAGAGACAAAAGATGCTAAACCCTTTTCAAATCTTATTGTTGGCTCTTGTAGGAAACTTTTAGAATTTATGTGAAATAATCTATGTATGTACATACAGAAACAGATACCATCATGTTAGTGTGGCAAAATTGAATGCAATATAAAATGATTTTCCTTTAAATCGGTCTATCCAGCCACCCCATTTTGGTTCCTTTTTTGCATATACACACAATACACATCTCCAATATACTTCAGACATTTTGTTTTAGAACAGACGAAACATAATGGATATATGTGTGCATACAATGTTGATACATGGGAGAGAAAATGAAATTTCTTTAACATTTGTGGGGAGGAGGGACAGGGGAATGAGAAAGTTTAATTTGGTAAAAAGGTTGCAATGTCAAAGACAGAGATTTTGTGTCTATTTATTTTATTGCGACGAAAATTAATCGATCAAAATGTGTTCATTGTGCTTCAAGCTACAGATTCCTTCAAAATGCAACTCTCTCTTTTCACATTCATCAATTCAATAAGAAAATTTATGCTGAACAGGACAGGACATAAATTAAATAAAATTTGACAATTTGATAATGCAGAATTAACATATTTGAAAACTTCCTTACAGACTCGATGCATCATCATGTTAAATCAGAACGTGATAAGGATGTGGATGATGATGATTTGGATGATAGGAAGCCAGACATGGTGCATCATGGCTACTATCAACATCCAATGACAATGGGCGGTCATTATCATCATCATAATATGAAAACAGAAATGGATACGGTTTCAAAAAACCAAACGGGCAGCGACTGTGGCGTGCCGATTCCAGCATCAAAGCCCAAGATCTGGAGTCTAGCAGACACAGCCGCGTGCAAGACACCACCACCTCACTCACACTTACACCTGAACGCCGCAGGAGCTTGGGCTTATCAGACGCACCCTTCGTCAGTAGCGGCAACAGCTCAATACAACAGCAACAGTCATACCGGGTCTCCAACACACAACAGTCACCTCCATCAGATGCAATTATTACAGCAACAACAACAGCAACCGCCACAACATCCACAACATGTTCAGCAGCCACAGCAACTTCAAATTCAACAGGATCCAATTCAACAACAGCATATGATGAATATGCAAGGAAGTACTTCCGTACCGGTTGGAATGAATATGAATGCGATAACTTCAGGGCATCACAATCAATCGCAACCAATGAGTACCAATGGGATGAATACATGGGGAGGCAGTTCTCCTTATTCCCGTTACGGGGGGTTTCTAGCGGGAGCACAAGCCGGTACGCACCCTACACAACCTCAACAGCAACAGCCTCACCAAACGCAACAGCATCATCAGTATATCAACAACAATCATACGGGGGGTACAACAACGCCAGTTACTCCGAACAGTACAGGTCAAGCTATTACACCCACGCTCCAACAGAACAGCAACAGCCAAACGAGCAGCAATCAAACGATGGGGTTTCCAGAAGTACAAACCGGTAACAAACACAACTTTTTTTTTATTGCTTTTGTCTCCTGTGAAATTATTTTAACATAAAAAATGGACACATCCATTGCCATTTTCTCGCTGTTGTTTCTCTATTCCATTCTTGTTCTTCTCGCTTCGTTCTGTCTTTTTTTTTCGCTTTCATTAACAATTCAATGTATTACACAGCAAAGCACATACACAGGAACAAAAAGGAGAATTGGAAGTACAAAACAAATTTTTTTAATTATTTTATATGTTTTACAGACACCCCGCCTCAGACACCACCGAATATGAAGTTCAACACGGCCAACTCTACTACAGCAGGTAATAACACTGATGCGTAACATAAGAATTAAGATTTAAAATTAAATTTTATTCGGTATCTAACCAATAATAACGATAAATAGCATGTAAGAATACTTAAAAGAATTGTCTCAATTATTTTGGGATCGTTTGAATGTTTTATAACCTTAATTTTCATCTTTACTCTCTACTCTTGGCAGGGGCGTAACCAAGAATTTGAAGAGGGGGGGACAAATTTTTTTTTTTGGAAAACTTTTGGGGGGGGGGGGGGGGGGGGGTTCGAGTTTTTTAAAAAAAACTCTAGCAACATGAAGAAATTTTTCAAGACGAAGGGGGATTTGTTCTCAAATGCACCCTCTAGCTACGCGCCTGACTCTTGGATATTTTTATTTTTTGATGCACATTTAAGACCCCCCACCCATTCTCTGGTCTTAGAACAGTGGCATAGAAAAGGGGGGGGGGGTCTTAACATTTTTGCTACCCCCTATTGAGCAAACTTGCTATGTCATGTCTTGAATCCCCTTGCTACAAGATGTCTTAGAACTCCTTACTATATCAAATCCCGAACCCCATTTTTATGTTGTAATTTAGACCCCCCCTCCCCTCCTCCCTCCAAAGCGTTACAAAACATACGAACGAACCCGTTTACTATTAAAATAATGTTAAAGTATGAAATTTCATTATTCTCAATAATTGCAGATACCATGAATAATGGCATAAATGCTGGTGGAAATAATACATATATTGGAAATTTTCGAGTACAACAGAATGATAGTTCAACATCGCCACATCAAATGATGAATCAAATGACGGATGGGTTTAAGCCCTTTTACAAAAAGTATGTTTTTGATGGATTATATAATTTTTTTTATGATTGATCTTTGCAATTCCTCCTTATGGTTTTTCTTTACAGTAATCAGCAAATTGGAAATAACAATAATTACGTATCTCCTGTTTGAGAATTTCTCTCACATTTATCACGAAACTATATTTAAATTGCACTTTGATGAGGTAATTATTTCGTAATTTATTTATAATGTATCATGCAATCTCCCTTTAAAGAACCATTTATTCCTTTTTATTATTACTATTATTATTATTATTTTAAAACAAGATATATACTGCACATTAGGCCAGCATTATCCATACACAAAATGCAATCTTTTAAATAAACAAATCTCGAATATCCCTTTTGTAAACTTTCCATTATTTATGTGTGAGATTTTTCGAGCGTGTATCTAAAGTGCATTGTCATTTGGCCCGATAAATTAGGGGATTGTTAGGGAGATAGGCATATTAGTTCATTGACTCGTGAACTTACTTAGTATACTAAATTTGATGTAATTTGGACATTTAATGTATATTTTGAAGCTGCAATAAAAAAATCGTTATATTTTAAAATTAGAAAAATAAATCGTTGAGTTTTTTAAGTTGTAGTGATTTGTTAAATATTTCAGATTTCGTTAATTTGACGTTAAGCTTTTGAACTTGGAGAAGCCGTTAAAATTTATAAATTTCAGAAATTCGTTAAATTTTTTGAACTTGGGAAATTCGTTGAATTTTTTTGAACTTGGGAAATTCTTTGAATTTTTCAAACTTTAGATTTTCGTTGAATTTTTTGAACTTAAGAAATTTGATTATTTTTTTGAACTTTAGAAATTCGTTGAATTTTTTGAACTTCAGAAATTCGTTAAATTTTTTAAACTCGAGAAATTCGTTGAATTTTTTGAACATCAGAAGTTTGACTAAGTTTTTGAACTTTAAAAAAATATTGACTTTAGAAAGTTAATATAAATTTTTAAATTTTCGATTTTTGTTAAACATTTTGAATTTCAGAAGTTCGTTAATTTTTCAAAAGAAAAAAATTCGTTGTAATTTCTTCAAAATTACAATTCTCCAATAACTTTAATAATTAAATCCATTCAAAACCATCGACAATGAGAACCCCTAGCTAGATAATCATTCAATTCAATGAATAAGTAAACAAATTCACTTTGGGTTTATCTAGAGTGTGTCGATGTGTAATTTAACAAATCATTTAGCTTTTTTCGGCTATCAAACAAAAGAGAGAGAGAGAGAGAAAGAGGCAAAGTCATTCATTGAGGAAGGAAAGAGAAAAATTAAATAAAAGTCAATCATTATTATCATATCAGCAAAGTGTCTAGAATCATATTACACATACGCAATATTACAATAAAATAAAGAGATCTCTCATAGAGCAGAAGAATTGTGCGAGGGATGAATGTCATCATCAGAGTGCGTAGTGCACTATATAAATAAGGGGTTGCTTGTTTTTTTGGATGATAAAGAAGCGAGAAATGGAAAATGAAATGCATAAAATGAAAAAGAGCAATGTGGGAATTGGGAATATTAAAAGATATTGAGATCCCTTATTCATTCACTCGAATGTCATCATTTTCAATTTTCTCTAACCCCTCACATGCCCATTTTCATTTCATGCGAAAAATTGGTTATCTGACTTTTTGATTAGATGTTTATGCAGACACAGACGGTGGTGAAATTTTTCTCCCTCATTCATTTTATTTATGATTCCTTCTCGTTGAGCAGTTGAGAGACAGTCAAGATATTGTATCGAAAGTGATATTATTATAAATGAGGTGAATATGATTTCGAACAGTTGTGTGTGCTTTTATTAAGATATATTCTTAAATAACGATACACTCATTTATCTACATACATACATACATACATACGCACTTGTGTAATGCTAATGTTGTTGCTCTTGCTCTTGATGATGATGATGATGGTGACATGAGTCACATATTTTTATGATGGCAGGCTAAACCTTTCAACATGCAGCATAGAAAAAAAATGAATTTATTAATGACTTACACAGAAATCTATTAATATTCACATTCTCTCAAGCCTATTTTTTTGATCCATATACAATGTATGGCACTGTCTTCTTTTACTTTAGCTCAGGGGTGGATCATGGATGTGGTTTTCAAGCTATTTATTAAGACTGTGACTAGGATAGCTAGTCTAGTTGCAATCAACTTGTTTTTACATCAAATATCAATGTTAAGGAGGGTGACCTTGAATAGCATTAGAACCTGTTTAATGAACGTTTTGAAAAGTATATAAGGTCCTTTACAATAAAGAGGTTCAAAATGATGAGATTGATTGGTTTTGTCATGTCACATGGCTGTTGTGTCACATAGTTGCTGTGTCACATGGTTGTTGTGTGATAGTTACGGTGTCACATAGTTGATGTGTCGCATGGTTGCTGTGTTACATAGCAGCTGTGTTACATAGCAGCTGTGTCAAATAGGTGCTGTGTTATATGGTCGCTGTGTTACATAGGTGATGTGTCACATGGTTGCTGTGTCACATAGTTGATGTGTTACAAAGCCACTGTGTCACATAAGTGCTGTGTTACATAGTCACTGTGCAACATAGGTGGTGTGTTATATGGTTGCTGAAGAATCGTCATTTTTGTCGTCTTGATCCTAATCAAATATTTTCGATCTCTTACATGATTTTTTTTAAAGTCAGTCTCCATGAACAAGTTTTTGCTGTCATCGTCAATACCCGAAGTTTCTTTAATATTTGTTACTCATATCTCGTGTAAAGGATTGTAAGACACCCTTGAGCTCCGTATCTTGTTACAACACTGCTCTACCTTGTCACTTAAAATTGTTACATTCATTAAAATATTCTTCCTTGCCGTAACAAGTTTCACATTAACATTATTTATCTCAAAAATAGCTAACGAATAGTAATTGATGATGTTTGAAGAAAAGTGACATGAAAATAAGACATATTATTCATTTTCCCAACCCCTCTATGTCCTGTGTCTCTATTTTAGTATTTAAAATTTTTTTGGATATAAAATGGAAAGCACTCACCCACATGATGATGGCAATATACACACAAATACACACAGAAAATTCATTTGAAATTCAAATTTTGCCTTTTCCTTCTTTTTTCATACATGCATAAATTAAGAAATAAACAACAAAAGGATTTGTCTTACGTTCAGCCCCCAAAAAAATATATTTTTTTATTATATATAAATTTTATTATAGAAACTGAAAAGGAGGAAAAATTAACATTAACTTCAGAAACTCATGGTTGGATGTTTTCTTAATTAAAAAGTTGTTGAAATTAAAATCTCTTTCTCTGTTTCCCCCTTTATGTTTTTATTTAGAGATAAAACCTTGCACATGGGTTACATATCTACATGGGAATATATTACTGTATTAGAAGTTTTTAGAGAGATAAGCACAATAATAAAAAGAGAAAATGCAAATTTTTCATGAAAGAAATGTGAGACTGATGCAATTTATTTTATACTTTTGTAGATTTTCTCTTTTAAAGTGAATTTGTAGTAAGCAAGTAGCAAGAAGCTTTAAAGTCTGCAGATTTACTGTTGGGTTTGCGGTAGCTTGCTTTAATTAATTGCGATCTACTGCAGTTTATTTTTGGATTTATGGTTTAATTAAATTTTATGTAAAATTTGTTTGTTGGCAAAATGCAACAACTTTTAAAAGTTTGGGTTTTTAAATTTTTAACGGTCTACAAAAATTTCAATTTTAATAACTTTTCAAAAAAATTGCATTTGTAAGACATTTAACAGTTTTCAAAAATTTGAATTTTTAAATTTTTTTAACAGTTTTCAAATATTTGAAATTTTATAGCTTTTCAACGGTTCTCATAAATTTAAATTTTATAGCTTTTAAATTGTTTTCAAAAATTGAATTTTTAATTTTTTAACGGTTTCAAAAATTTGCATTTTTAAGACTTTTAACAGTTTTCAAATATTTGAAATTTTATAGCTTTTCAACGGTTTTCATAAATTTAAATTTTATAGCTTTTAAATTGTTTTCAAAAATTGAATTTTTAATTTTTAAACGGTTCCACAAAATTTGCATTTTTAAGACTTTTAACAGTTTTCAAATATTTGAAACGGTTTTCAATATTTGAAACGGTTTTTTTAATATTTAAACATTTAAAATTCTCAAAACTTTAAACGGGTTCAAAAAACTGAATTTTTCAGCTTTTTAACGGTTTTCAATTTTTTAAAGGTTTTTAAATAGAAGAACTTTAAAAAAAACTCCAACAGCTCAAAAATATTCAAATAAATCAACGAATATTTAAACCTCGAAACGACAGTTAATTCCAAAAACAATTTGCATATTCAACAGCAAACCCATTAAAAAGAGTGAATGATAAATTTTAATTTAAAATTGCTTAATCAACATTTTATGGAATGAGTTAGATTAAAATTCTTCTAAAACACGTAAGAAGGAAGCACTCATTTGAGATAGTAGGAACTAGTTTCTGAATAATTTTCGATAATAAATGTAAATATTATGTGTTATTTGAATAATCTATAGGATTTAATAATTTTATCTCTCTTCTCTCAAATTTTTATATTCAGCTACTTAAAAAGCTCTTCCAAATATGAAGAGACAAGTTATTTGCGTTTAGTAAATAAAGTTTTCCGGATTAAGCCTTTATTTTTTTGGATAATTTATATATTTTAAAATTCAATGATGATTGATTGTTTCATTAATAATTCGTTGTTACTGATTTTATTTTAAAAGCATCGCTCATTTCTTATTCTTGCCTTCTTTCTCTCTCATACACACATGCTTGCCTGTTCTAAGTTCTTTAAAAATGAATAAAATATATATAAAAATGAAAGAGATTGCCATATAATCCAATTAGAGTTGAATAAACATTATAAAAATGTAGATTATTATCGAAGTTGTGTGTCGGGGCTTTTTCCATCTTTGGTATAAAAAGAAGTCTCGATCTCTGTTTTTTTTTTCATTCATTTTCTACTCTTTTTTTGTCAACTCTTCAAAAAGACATTTTTTGTCACATTATAAAATCTCAAGATCGTAAATAAAAATGCGTGTGTGTATGAAATTTCACGATTTTTTTTTGTTTTGTTCATTCCTCTCCTCATTTATAAAATAATATCCAACAATATGAGAGCGAGCAAAGGAAATTGTCAAATTACCGACTGTTAACATCCAAAATAAAAAAAAAGTATATCCGAGAAATCCACGTAACATTTCTTTTTTTATGAATGAGTGATGCATTGAAGAAATGAAACATAGAGAAGAAATCGTTAAACAGCACGACGCGTATAGGGAGAGGAAGAAACAAACCTGACAAAATAAAAAGACAACATCGAGTATTATTGACTGTCACATCATCAATTTCAATTTTAATCATTATTTTCTTTCTTCTACATCACTTATGTGTATGCGCGCATATTTCTACCGAAATAAAGAGGCTCATCTCACCCACCAGAAGAGTGATTTTTGAAGCAGAGTTGAATCTAGGGTTTTGAGGGAAGTGAAGGTGAATTTGGTTAGATGAAAGGGTCGTCAAGGCAGGGATCTGACAATTAAATGGTATTTTTCAGTCG